ATCTGATGAAACACAAAATCTGACGGCTTTCTTTTGCAAAAGTTTCACTGCTGTAGGCAAAAATCCTGAAATTTATTCATTTAAACTTTAGCAAATTGTCATAAACATTTTCAAATGTCTTTGATCAAATATGTAGACAGAGTAGAGTGACCATATTGCTGTTAGCAGATTGTTACTCTTTGACTGATGAAAGGATTTTAAATTTAAATTTCTTCAATCTGAATAATGTTCAGAGTGCAACACTTAGTAATTTATAATGAAAACAGAGAGATTAAGTGTTTCAGTGTCTCATAAACTACAAACTTATCACCACGTGGCTCTTACTGACTCATACCTTCTGAACCAGCACACATACATTCAAAGTCTGCTACCATCTACTGGTCAAACTGGGTATTACATCAGGGCAGCAAAGGTTCAGCACAGCAAACAGGAGTGATTATATATATCATCTGTCCTGGGAGTGGTTCAGGATCACATTTAAAGTAAAGCTTTTAGAGTATTGAAAGTTGAAGAAAAAACAAATTCCAAACTTCAAAGTAAAATGTGCTCAAAAGATGGTCAGGACAATGATTACAGAAAGCTTTTATTTATTTATTTATTTATTTATTTATTTATATCAGTCAAAGAACTTAAGCAATGGAAGGAAATTTAATAAAAAGATGAGTTGCACTGTAAACGCATGAAAAAGTTTTGACACTGATGATGAAACTTCCTATGAATAAACATCTCAGATAAGATATTTAACATGTAATTAGATGTTTGCAAAAGCACAAGGTGCCTCATACTTCTTAACAACTCTACTGTACTCTATAAATTACCCGTTTAAATTTTAATTGGGCTTACAGATTGTATTATTAAGGGCCTGGCTTTAACTGACAGGTGGATGATGACATCAGCTATTTGGAGTCCCTGGACGTGACCTCGGCACATTGGAGCATTTTTAATGAAATTATCTGACCAATAACATGGCTGCTGTGTTTAACTTTACCAACAGGTGGTTCAAGACGTCTGAGCTCCAGTTTTGGTGAAATTTGAGGATTTTGTTTGAATATTAGAGCACCAATTACCAGGTTCCTGTGCGATGGATTAACTGTAATGTAAAGGCCTGTTAACTGCATCCTTCACCTGCTTACACCCGTCGCACAGTCAGGTTATCATAAAGTGTAGTTTGTCACATAAAAAACTAAAAACTATAATACATTCCTGGGAGGCGTACTCTGCTGAAACAGTGTACGCTGCTGTCACCGTTAGTTATTGCAAATACCAACTAGAGCGCTCCCCGCTCGCTGGGCAGTATTGTTGTCCTGCCGGTTGTATACTTAAAAAACGCAGTGTTTACACATGCTAGCAGTCCATGTATCAGTTTGGGGCGCATGTTTGTGTTCCACCTCTCAAGGCTTTGACTTAGAGGTCAAAGGCAGTTTCTGTTGGTGCCATCATTTATTATTTCATCAGATTTCATTAAAGACATCTAAAGAAGGTCCTTACTGGATTGCTGTTAACCAGATGACACTCTCTGCTAGGAGTGGTTGCCGCAGGTCAGAGGTCGTCCGCAGGGTCGCTTGCAGGAGAAACGACCCTGACGATGACACGGCACCGGGCTGACCTGCCGAGCACAAACAGAGTTCAGCACAGACCCTCCATCATTAGATCTGATGACCTCGTCTGGAGGTGAACGAGCGCCTGTATACGAGTGTGCTGAATACCAAACGACTAAATGAGATGAAACGCAAGAGAATTAAAAGAGCGAGAGAGATACAGAGATGTAGCACGTACGTAATCCAATTCCATAACACAGTGTGACGGGGAATCAGCTGTGTTTTGCTGCCCATTTTATTTCGAATCTGGCACAAACTGGCGAGCCAGTTCCTGAATCAGTCACGTGGTACGGACTGCCCGCCAGGCCTCGAACATCACTGCATACGTAATCGTATCAATTTCCGTAATCGTAATTTTGACAAATTAATTACAGAAATTAATTAATTACAGAAAGAAGGACACTGAGAGAAAAAGAGAGCCCGTGCTTTAACAATGGCTCCGTGCAGAGGTATATATGGACACGGACTCGTTTAGCTTATATAGAATTGGCTCCCCATATGCTAATCCAGACCAAAACCTCAGGTTCCATCCATTGACTCGCTCCGTCTCCAGTTTCCGCCGCCATGCTTTCTCATTTGTCTTCTCCAGCACTGATAATTGGCGTCTGTCTTGTGTCAGTGACGTAAAAGACGGATTTAATGCGACATGACCATTCAAACAGCAGTCGCTTTCTAAAACATCAGATATGTATCGGATTCAGTACCACATACGAAAGTGACCCAGGTCGGATTTGAAAATATCGGATTTGTGCTGTTCAAACTGTCATACCATGATCGGATATGGGTCAAAAGTCATATTTGATGCGCTTCTGCCTGCAGTGTGAACGTAGCCTTAGTGTCACGTTCTGGGTCCGTTGGACCCAGTATTTTGAGTTTATTATGTTTTGGTTTATTTTTGCATTATGGATTGTTTTCTGATGTTCTGGTGCTTTGTTTATTATTATCATTATGGATCTGTTTCTGTTATTCTTGGTGAGGGATCAGTTCTTAGGTTTTGGGTTCTCATGTGTATTGCAGTTTCTGTTCAGTGTCATGTCTGCATCTGGTTTAGTACTTCTTGTTTCCTGTCTTATTGTGAAAGTCTTTGTCTTATGTTAGTGTGTGCAGCTTAGCTCCCCCGTCTCGTTAGCCCTGATCTCCCCCAGCTGTGTCTCCCTTCTGTGGCCCATTCCCTCATTACTACCCTGTGTATTTAAGCCCTGTGTTTTCCCATGCTTGGTGTCGCGTCGTACCCTCAGATCCTGCCTGTGTGTCCCTGCTTGGTTTCATGGTTTGGGTTTTGTTTCATGCCAGCAATAAAAGCTGTGGTTTTCATTAACATTTCATCGCGGAGTCCTGCATTTGGATCCACATTTCCACCTGCCTGCACACAGAGCCCTGACACTCAGACCTTGAAATGACTCTCTTTATATTTAAACCTCCAGAAAAAATATTCAAAACACAAACACTGAAACTGAAAATAAACTACAATAATACAAACAGAATCAGTGTGTTTGGTGTTTTTAATTGAGCTTCCTTCTGACTGGAATAATTAGCTTTATTTCCTTTTATTTCATTTCCTCTCTGTCTCCTTTACTATCCTTTAACCAAATTCACAACAGATGAAAACAACCCTTTTGTGGAGGTTTATTTTATTTAGACTGCACATTCAAAACAGTCCTTTCATGAAAGTGCAAACTGCTGAACTGTTCTGAAATGTAAATGTGAAACAGGATGCAGTTCTCTGCCAACTTAAAAAGCCCATATTTTATGAGCTACAGAACATAGAAAACATTTCAAATGTTTAAGATGAGAAAAGCTTAAACTTAACAGTCATAAAATGTCTCGAAAAGTTGGGAAGTGGAAAACAAAAGGCTAGAAAAGTAAGTGGTACTAAAAAGAAAGGGCTGGAGGAAATTGCACACCAATCAGGTTCACTGGCAACATATCAGTGATGTAACTGGGAATGAAAACACATTTACACTTCTTTAGTTCCTCCAATTTCTAGTGATTTGATTTGTTACCGTTTCAGTGTTATCATTCTGTTGCTTTTATTATGTTTCTGCAGCATTTTAAGCTTAATTCTGTCTCACCTCATTCAAAGCTTAAATTGAACTGAAGCTGCTCCTTATACAGAAGTATGAGTAAGTCAGAGCAGAGAATTATATGTAACATGTGGTGACAGGGATGCTAACCAGTCCCAACATGTTAGTGTTCGGTGAAACGGTGCGAAGCGGTGACACAGTGAGCTTGCAGGGACAGGCTCAGGGCAGGGCTGGAACTCAGCCAGATTGATTCACTGTGTGTTTCCCACAGTGACAAGAGCCAAGCAGGAAAAGAGTGCGGCAGCCATCCAGGAGTGTCTGTGTCCTGGGCTGAGAGGCTAAAAATCGCAGTGTGTGTGCATGTGTTGCCACAAACAAAAGAGCTGTCGCTTGGCCTTGATGCTGGTGTGCGTGTGTGTTTGGGGGCAGTGTCATATATGTCACTTCATGTCAGGAGACTCTGAATCATCCAGAAACCTGGCAGCTAAGCAACTGTTCAAGTCATGCAAAGATGTGTGTGTCTGTGTGCCATACGTCTCTCTAAAGTTTTCCACCACACACACAAAAATGTACAAAAATAAGATATCAAAATGATTGTGCTAGTTCTGTGAATATTTGTTTTAAAGTTCCACAAATACAACATTTAGCCTAGCCTGAAATAAAAATGACTGCAGTGCAGTCTTTTGTGTGTTTTTGTGTGTTTAATCAGCTCAGTCCCTCGGGTGAAATCCCAGGATCCTCTGACCGTTATGTGTCAATCTAACGTCATGCTTGTGCATGTTTGTGCTTGTAAGTATTCATTTGTAGTCATGTGCAAAACAAAGCACAACCTTTTACATTTATTAGGTTTCATGTGTCAGGAGAAAAATCAAGAAGTCTCAAAATGAGGTTAATCCAAAAAAATATACAAAGATGAGTTTTAACAGAGGTTATAGTTTTTTTGGCTAAGAAGTAACACCCTGCTCTAAAAAAGCCTTAATCATAATGTGTTATTTACAGCAGCAGAGACCACGGCCCACTCCTGTGATCACTGTTTGAAATCTGCTTTAAGCCCGCTGGACGTAGTGGAGCAGTAGCAGTAGAAACAGGTTCATGCTTTCACTACCGAGTGTCTCAGAGCTTCAATAATTTAAAAAAAGAGCATTAATAATGTTTGCAGTCAGCAGCTGCTGCACTCTGTCAGGTCTTTGTTTTCACTTCTTTTATTTGGGATCAAATGAAAAGCTTTCTTTGAAACATTTGTCAACCTTGTGATTCAGATTCAAAAAGGTGGAAGCCGCATGGTAAACTGGTTTCTTACGATGGTGATTGTCACACGCTTCTGTCATTAAAAAGGGTTACAGGGAGGTACAGGTGCATTTGTGGGTGTATGGTAATGTGGTAAAGACCACTTTACCAGTAGATTTGAAACTTGTGTTTTATTTTTTCATTTTGAATTTATGAACTTTTTACCTTTTTATTGATTGTTTTGCTTGACTGGAACAAAATATGAGTTTTCTCTTAGTACCTAAAAAAGCAGACATACTGACCTTACACTGTTTTTTCTTTGTGGATATTTTTTCCTTCCTGATGAGCAGAAGAGAGCTTGATGGTTTCAGAGACGCCTGCAGAACAACAGTGACGTCTTTCAGCCTTTAGAACAATCACCAGACTGAAAATGTATTTGGTAAGGGTTATGCATGCCTTTTCACATGTAAACTGGACACCTGCAATGCACTGCATACTACAGTCATTAGCCTAATGCCAGATTACTGACTGGGACAAAAAAGAGAGATCACAGCAGCCTTGTTCTGTCTCACTGTGTATTACAGAATCCAGGATAAAGTGACACTGTTTGTGTTTAAAGCATTAAATGGTATTGATCTGCATACATGGTAGATATGTTGATCTAGGTTTGAACCTCCAGTTAGATGGGTGAGTCAGATTATGTAATGTAATTATTTTTTACCCTACAGTCCAGCCTCTAAAACAATGAATAAAGTCCTACAAATCATTCAATTAACAGATTTTAAACAGAAAAGATTCTGTTTAAAATCTGTTTAAAATACTTATGTCCCGGAAGCAACTCGTAAATATGCAACTCCTCCTCAGCGTCTCAACAAATCACAGCACATCACAGTTTTTCCTAGGATGTCTGTCTGCTCTCTTAGTCAGTGAGTTTTATTAAAACTTGCATTTAAACTTTAAAATTAAAATAATCTCATTGGGTTTAAACTTGGGTTATCTGTAACTTCTTGAAAATACCAAAATCCTCGGATATTTAAAACAAGTGAAGGAAAGTTCAGCAGAGAACGTGGAAATGGCTGCTGCAACACTTTGCACCACGTTGTTGTTTTCCACTATCTTGATGGCTGCACTCGCAGGTAATTCTGTACATATTTAGATTGCTATTGATCTTTGAGTTATTTTCTCCCTTCTCCATTTCCTCTATCATCTTCCATATATAGAGCTACCACGATCGCTGATAAAAGTTTCATGATTATGGTAACTTCTTTGGATCCAAGCTTGTTTGGATTGATGTTATTCATTCTTTGGGAATTCTGAGATTCTAATGTTTAGGGTTTGAGAGCCTGAATTCTGTTACTTAAATTCTCATTTATTGGTTCTTGTTTGCTTTGCATTTTTCTCCATTTTTCATGTTCGGGCTGTCTTTGTCTCGTCACGTGTCAGCTGATAAGAAATGACAGTTACATTCTAAAGCAATCATCATGTAACAATTTATAATGTATTTAATATTTGTTAATGATTAAAAATGTTGTTTTGTGATTATGATTTGATCACTTAAGCATTGATTTTATATTATATAACCACTTTGCTTATTCTTGTATATTACATCTGGGAAACATGACATCTGTAACACAGCATTTCATATTCTTTCTTCTAAACAATACTGAACACATTGCGACTGTGTGTGTGTGTGCTGTGTGTGTAGTGTGTGTGTGTGTGTGTGTGTTTGTGTGTGCGTGTGTGTGTGGTCCATTTTTGTAGAGTTCAGTGGTCTTTTTTGGGGTTCTCTCCACTCTGATTGGCTGCTGTAGAAGTGAACAATCATAACGTGAAACCTTTAACCGTTCTGTTCTGGCGAGTTTTGACTCTTTTTGGAGGTGCTCAAGCACCAATTAAAATAACTATACAAATAGTAGCAGTACAAATGCCTTTTAGTATTATTTTCTGTCATTATCAGAGACACTATTAGACACTACAGTTGGTCACCCAATTTAATGACTTGCTTTTGAAGGCAACACGGTAATGGACCCAGTTGAAATACGGCTTAAGGAAATGTGAAGAATTGACAACCTTTGCAATCATAAAGTGAAATTACTAATTTGAATCACTAATTTGATTACTTCCAGCACCCCCCATGTGCGCCAGCCTGTTACAGCAGCTCTTTTAAAGAGACTGTATCCATGAAATTGTTCTTTTTCTAAGAGTCTGAACCTAGAATCACTCCTGCCTCTCTGCTCTTTGTTTTCTCTTTCAGACCAGAAATTATCACAGCTGAGTCTGGACAGGACGTCACTCTGTCATGTCGAGCTGCAAACAATAACAAACCATCATAGTTGTGAAATGGAGCAGACGTGACCTGAAGAATTATGTCTTGATTACCGGGATCAGCAATTTGTTCCAGATGAGCAGCATCCATCTTTTAAGAACCGGGTGGATCTGCAGGACAGACAGATGAAGGATGGAGACGTGTCTTTGATTCTGAAGGATGTGACGACTGCTGATAATGGAACATATGAGTGCCATGTCGTCCAGGGAGTCAAACAACCATTGAAGCTCATCAGCAGCATCTACCTTCATGTTGTTCCTCCAGGTGAGTGAGTAGAGTTGAGTGTGTGTGTGATCAGAGGTGAAGCTGCTTCCTGGTTGTTGATGTTTGTTTCTAAAGATGTTGTTGATGAGACTTTGTAGAGTACAGCTCACACTGGTCTGACTGAGGATCAGACAGGAGGACACCCAGGGGATGGACCTGTTGGACTGATAGTTGTTCTGAGTGTTTCTGCTGTGCTTCTTGTTGCTGTTGTTGATTTTTGATCTACATAAAACATAAAAAGACAGAGTCATGTCTCACACAGGCCTGCTGTTGATCAGCAGCTGTTTGAAACATCAGACTGATCCAGTGATGTTTTCTGTGTTATTGGAGAAATAGAAACAAAGAAACAATAGGCAAAAATGCATGATGCCAAACATCAATCAAACATGTTCACAATTAACATTACAACTGTCAAATACGAATAACCAGAGACAAACAGCAGCAACATATTTACTTCACCATTCATTCCCCTACCAGGCCTAACCTAAGTCTTGGCTAATATCCTGTAATCAGTATTGGGCCACTCAAAAAAGTAATATACTACACAGTAGTCATCATCTTTCCTTGATTTCATACCGAAGAAAGTCATTTGTCATCTGTTTTGCATTACTCTGCAAAATGACCTGGAATTCATTGTCTAAAAATGATAAGTTAAAAATATAAACCTGAGGATAAATTGAGGATAAGATGAAATCAGCTGAGTGTAGCACAAGTTCTCATGACAAAAATAACATGAATTTTTGTGTTCGCTTCTGTCTGTCCAACATGAGCGCAGATTAAAGACCCCTTGTAGTAACACGAAATAATGTAATTACTGAATTTAGTACGGTCACATGTTACATTACTGATTTACAGAAAAAGGCACTGTGATTACTTTGATGCATTACTTTGGAACACCGAGCAC